GTTTTACCTTGCACGGGCCCTGGTGGATGAGCCGGAAGCAGCTCCCCTTCTACAACTCGTGCGCATCTCCCCAGTCTGTCACAATGATCTGAATTTCCTTGAGGTACGGGTCAAGGTGGAAGTGCCTGCCTCCCTTGTGGGGCGGCCCCAAATCGCTATCGCTGCACGGATGATGGAAGGCTTCCATCGTGGGCTTCTCATGGCCAGACGTGGTGACTTCGATCCCCAAATGTTCTCATACCCAGGCGTGTGCAAGGGCACTTTTAGACTCTTGCTCCCGCTGGACGATGTCCCCTTGGGTTTGCAAGCGCAGCCCACGCTTCCCATCCAGTCCGCCGGCCTTCTGCACGCTGCCCTGTGGCGCCTTAGGGCGGCTGCTACCACCTCTGGTTGGGACCTTAGCGCAAAGACCTTTCAAAAGACTCCGTGTCCGTCCACACCGCTCTTACCATAGCTTTTCCGGCCAGTTCTATAGCAACGTCGTGCGCAGCATGAACGAGTATGCTGCAATCTCAGAACAGTGTGTTTCTTGAACTAGCTTCGAAGGTGGCCGTGTGTAGGACAGCTACATGTGAGCCAGGATGTTAACTTGGAAGCGATTGCTTTCACGATTGACACCTGCGCGGCAGGCACGTCGAGCTAGGAGGCATTATGGAATGGTGCACGGTTCACTGATGACTCTAGACTCTAGACTCTAGACCATCGTTCCACGGGCATGGTTAGAGGTCTCGGATATGATGCAGCGCAAACTCAATCACTCACGCTTAAATGGGCGGCCTGTTGGAGGGGCTGCGATGATTTCAATCCACCGATGGTGGTTGTCGTCTATTGGCTCAGAGGTCCACAAAAAAAGGACTTCTATTTCCCGGTGCGCCTGTGGCGCCACGCCCATTTCGACGCGTGGGATACGAGGGCCAAGGTTCTCATCCACCATTTGGTGGCCCAAGAGTCGAACGATAAGACCATGCCCGACGGACGCCGTGCGTGGTTTCGGCTAGGGGACCCTTGGGACCAGGACCGCTGGAGAGACGAAGCTGAAGCCTTCATTGAGCGGGGTGGAATCGGCCCAGGCATTCAAATGCCGTTCATCTCTACGGAGCTGATGCCGCATCTCCATGAGCCTGGTCAAGATACACTCCGGTATGGTTTTCACCGCCTGCAGGAGCTGTGTGAGCAGCGCAATTACCAATTGTTATACCTGTTACACTGTTACGCGAATCCCACTTTCCGACCAGCGGCAACGACATGCAGCGCCTGCTGGATTCTTGGCCGTGGCCTTCGACACTGGATCGCGCCCAGTGACGGTATAGGCCGTAGCATACCAGCTGACTCGGCCATCCATGACCATCGACATACGTCGTAAGGTCCTTTGGGCTCTTGCCGCTGGTTATGGGTTCCACCCTAAACTTGTGGACTTTGTGTGCACGATCGTGACACAACAGGACTCCGGGGCTGACCGTTGTTCGACGGAACTAGAACGGCGGCCGGAGCCCCGACTTTGGGCTCCACCGGTGGTCTTGGACAGCTCTAGGCGACGGCCTTTTGCTGTTGTGGATCGGTCGCTGAGGCCCCGTAGCTCGTGCTGAACGGCCAACACCGGCAAAGCCTGTGCGCCGCAGCTAGCTCTTTGCCTCTTTTTATCGAGCCGCCCTGTTTCACCGCTGTTTTTGTTCGTTTGTTGGTTTGTCTTGTTTGTAGGGACCGAGTGCTACAGCCGTAGTCGACGAGGCCCGCCCACGCCAAAAAAGCCTTCCGTCATCTGAGCAAGCCATAAATTCGGCACCTCCGATTGGAATGGCATTTCAGATGGAAAGCGAACCATGCAGAACCCCTCAGGTCCCTCTGAAAGTTCTCCTCTCACTTCTTGGCCATCTGGATTGAGTCTGATGTAGCATCCAGCCGCAGGGTCAAAATAAGCCTTCTTTGCTCGTCCTTTGGTCTTCGCTGCGGCCGGCTCCTCATTTTCCGACGAGATTTCAATTTCGCTTTGGCTGTCATGAATAACACCAAAGTCATCAACATCGCCAGCTTGGTCTGCAAGCTCGACGTCTGCATCTTTAATCTCCTCCTCTGCATCTGTCCGATTAAGTCCATAAACCGACAAAATCTCTTTGGCGGACTCGGGACGTGCAGCCGTCTTGCGTCTCACTCTCCTCTCAGGAGAGAACAACAACCTCTTCTTCAAGCTGGAAGCCCCGGATGTCGGTGGAACAACGTGAGAACTGGCCTTCGAACTAGATGCTTTCGGCGAAGAATTGCAAGTGTCGGACAAACTCTTAAGCCTCTGCACAAGCCTCCAGAGCGCTGGCTCCAATTTCTTGCCAGTGGAGGTGCTCTGCATCTTGCTTCGAGCAAGAACGAAGCATGAGCAGATCTTCTTGGCAATTTCCTGTGCATCGTCTCTGCTTATCTCAAAGGCCTGCATAATGCCATCCCTCAGGACATTCACTGTCGGCCTCAAAGTTTTAACCACGATTTCTTGGATCAAGGCCTCATGCTCTTGCACGACTTTTGTATCTGCCTCTCTGAAAGATGCTATATCGATAGGTCGATTCTTGAAATGAATCACGAAGCAGGCGCAAATGTCCTTCGCTGTAGCCGTGTTCTTCGCCCTCGGACTGCTTTTCAATTCGAACTCCATGCTGCCCGGATCTAAACTCTGTATATACTGCAAAACTGGTTTAGGGAAGCTGCAACATGGATCATTAATCTGCTGCTGCATGTTCCATATGCATGCACACTGCACTGCAAGCTGCTTACGATGATCACCTGCAAGCATGCATGCACACACCGCACAATTGTTCGGTTCTCGCAAAAACGTTGCCGCAACTCCCAAAAAACCATGACAAACTTACACATGCCCAACGATTCATCGATCGGCCCATGTAGCAAAAATGATCGATCTTGCAAGAAGAAATACCATGCTTAATTAAGATGTGTTATTTGCAACAAGATTTAAGCAATGATTGTTTAATTAAGCAATGTATTGCTTAATTAAGCAAGTAAAAGTGTTTATTTAAGCAATTTTAACAAGAAACATTGTTTAATTAAGCTTTTACAGCTTAATTAAACAATTTTTATGTTGATTAATCATATAAATAAGCATTGTTTTCTTATTTAAACATCTTTGGAAGCTCTGGGCGATGTCCTTGACCGCGGGGTCGCTTCGTGTCAACGTTGACCAGTTCGGTTTTGCCATCTGCAAGCGGATAGAGCCATGCGGCTGAGATTCTGCTCTGAGGAGGAGGCCTGGCGACTCTGCGTCAATCCACTGATTGCCATCAGTGCAGCCTTAGCTGAGTTGTGCGAGCCTCTTCAGCATTTGGCGGATGATAAGGCATATGACTTGTGTTGGCGCGAACTCGCTCGGCCTCAGGTGTGGTGGTGGCTACTGGTCGATGAAATTGTCGCTCAATGGCAACATGCGGATCAGGCTACGCTGGACACCACCATGGCCCGGGATGGCAGCTTCATCGTCATGGCTCTGGGCGGCCCTGGCAGACGCATCTCCCCACTGCAATATTGCAGCGCCCTGCTACCCATCCAGGTGCTGCTGTTTGTGGTCCGCCGTCTCGTCGATCAGCCGCAATCCTACCCGCATTTAGAGGTGGTTGAGGTCTTCCGTGATAATGACCAGCAGGCCGCTGATGAAGGCCGTCATGGTCAGATCGGGGTACGCCTCGCAGCCACCTTTGCGGCGGGCGACATCTGTCCGCTGCAATGGCAGGTTGGGGCCCGGATACGCCATAGATGGGAGAGAGGAATTGTTGCACTTCACCATCCCTACGTGAATCCGGACATTTTCACTCATCCATCGATATATCAAGGTCGTTTCCGCATATACCTCCCGCTGTCGGAGGAGGCCCTGGGTCTACGGCCGGCGGCTGAGCTTAGTCTGCAGCCTGCAGGCCTGCTGTCAAGTGCCTTGGCCAGAGTCCGACAGTGGACCCAGCAGGATGGCTACGACTTGCGTGCAGCTCTGGCGGTTTGGCTGCCTGGACCCAAAAGGATCACCATGTACTACCCAGAACGATTCTTCTTAATGGGAGGCCATACGGTGACTGGCCGGCATGCGGAGATCATTAGGCGAGACTTCGCTGATGTTCCCATGGGCCTCCGCATGGACTATCCGCCATACACCCTGGGCCAGGATCTCCGTATTGAGGACTGGGTTGCAGCTGCTAGGCAGTTCAAGGCCCAGGGGGGACTAGCGGGTGGTCTTGGTTACCAGTTTTTGGGCTTCCGGCTGGTGCCCAACTACCATAAGGCCTCACCAATTTATTATTACACACGACAGCAACTGACCCGGCGCCAAGAGGCGGGCGAGTGGACATTCTTATATACCCTTAATGATGCACATATGGATGATCCTGACCACTTTCGCAGAGTTCTCTGGGAACGGCGCGCTCCACACGTCCGCCTGTCATAACGGGAGCGAGACGTCAGGAGCGACTGGCAACTGACCTGCCGTTCGGTCGGTGTTGGACCCCTTGGTTATGCCCCTCTGCCCTGGCCATTCGGCTGATTTTCGTTTTTGAAACGATTTGGTTTGCTAGCCCTCAAAGCCCGGAAGGCAAGTTTTGATTTTCAACACATGCCTTTTTCCTTTGCGCATGCTTGGACGTGGCAGTGTTGAATTTCGCTTTCGTTTGCCTTTTTGGTTCAAGTTCCTTTTCTGGTCAAATTTTTCATTGTGAGCCTCGAGTCTCGACGTGAGTGCGCCCTTCCTGGGCGCCACTCCGTCACACGGACACGTACAGTGTAGAGGTTCACTAAAGGCTTCGCTGCTAAGAGTTCCGTAGAGGGTGCGGGGCTCCCATAGGGACACTCGAGCGCTCTGCGTTGGCTCGGTGATCTCTTTTTCAGCTGCTGTGGCAGCCTGTGGCAGCCTGCGCCTCCTGTCGGCTCTTGGCGTTGCTGCGAGCTTGTCTTTGCTTGGGCCAGACCTCACTATGGCGCGAGCGTTCATGTGGCTTCATCAAACAAGGCATGATCGAAGGATGGACCCCTTTGATGAGGTTTCGCTGGCTTCAGATGATATGGACCTCTACAATGAGGACACGGAGGAGGGCCGCCGGTCTGATCACGCCAGTGCTGGCCTTGACCTCGATGACCTTCGCGATGGTGCCCGGGACAGTGGGTGCGTCCAGCTTTCTGCTGGGACCGCGGCCTTGGACTACGTCAATGACACTGAGGACGCTGCTCTGTGGCGCCGGCTGGCCGCCCTGCAGTCCCCGGTGCATGGGTATCTGCAAGATGTTTTTGAGGATAGCACCCTCCCTCCCCTTCGGGATGCTGCCGTCCGAGGTTCCACGGAGGCGCCGACTTCTTCGCCTCGAACTCCCACGCGATTGGAGAGCCGTTTGGAGTCCCTTCGGAGTGAGCTGCGCGACCTGCGCGTCTGTTTCCTCGATCGCGAGGCTCGATGGCGGTCACGCTTCAGTGACCTTGCGTACTCCATCGATGGTCTTCGGCGTGAACAAGACCGTCTCCGTGCACAGCTGAGGAATGGCAGCTCCTAATCTGAGCTTCTTCTGGGCTTGGGCCATAGATTTTGTTGGCGTGCTGGATCCTCGAAGGTGCTAGCACTTCAGTTCTGCAGGCCACAGTGTGTCTCGCAGGCTGTTACCCAGCTTGCGGTGGGCCGCTCCTGAACTTCAGGGCCTTGCTTCGAATTTTGTGCTGGAACATGTCACGCTTTACAACCTGTGTTGTGGAAGGTCTGTGCACGGTTTTGTGGTTACAGAAAAGCCAGTTAGCTCTCGGCGTCCTGGAAGGTGCTGGGATGCTGCACTGGCTCTAGGGGCTTCGAGCGTTGCATCGCATACTGATCTTTCGTGGCCTCATTGTGAAAATCTCCGCCGGAGAATGCTGCAATAACAGCACCTTGCAGACTTTCGCATGCGCATTTCCAGGTCTGCCCGAGTCATGTTGTTACCCACTTGGTGAGTGCTGTTCGGTGCGGGTGTCTTCGCATCGGCACTTGAGGGTCAACTAAACATGTTTGGGTTTCAGAGTTTGTGAGCTGAGCTGCACCTTCTCTCCCAGTCCTTCGGCTTAGAGTGCGGGCTGTGGGCGCGGGTCGGATTTTGGGGCGGGCCACGCTGGCGCCGTAAACTCAGCTTTGGGCTTTCACGCCTGTGGTGCGTAGTGGCTCTCAGCCCGATTTTACCCCCCCCGCCTTTCCTTTTCGACCTTTCCCGCTGTTCAGGTCGCGGTGGTGCTCGCTCGGGATTTGGCCAGCTCCTCATTTTGAGTCCCGGTGGCTTTCCCCGGCGATCTCACGTGCACTCTCAGGTCTCGGCTTTCTTTGAAGAGCTTTGCTGCGACCCCAGTTGGCAGCACTGGAACCGTTCTTTCGGTTCCCGTTGTGCTTTCAGGCTTTCGCGACGGTTCCGAGTGGTGGGTCCACTCCTCATCTTGATTCCTGCAGGCTTTGCCCGGGGATATCACGTGACTCATCAGGTCGGTGCTGGCTTGTGCGAAGCCTCAGCGCCTGTCTCAGATTGAGCACTGGAACCGCAGAATTCTCGGTTCCCGTTGTGCTTTCGACGGCTTTAGGTCGACTGGTGGTTCACCGCGGTGATCTCCGGTTTTGGCTTTATGGCCGCATTTGGCAGAATCTCTTGCCTCAGCCTGACCATGCATGCGGAAGCATATCTTCATTGTCAGGTTGTGACTCTCCCAGTCCACGCTTGGCTGGGACTGCGAGGCATCTACGCCCTCGTCTGCTCTGTTTGCATTCTTCTGCCCCCCCCCCCTCTTCTTTTTGCTGTCAGGTTGGCCCTCTATGTCGCGGCGGAGTTCTTCACCTTTCTGCTTCAGGTTCAATAGGAGGCGCCCATACAGTTCTCTTGAGGATGATCCGATCGTTGATACAAGCCCGCCTCCCTCGGGGCCTGCGTTGGTCCAGCCGGCCTGGGCCACTGCCTCGGATCTAGCGGAACTCGCCCAGGATCTTCGATTGTGTATGTCTCAGGCTGCGAACCTTGAGGGCAGGCTTCTTAATATGGAACATTTGGTGTGGCCTCCGAACTCTGACAATACTCTTTTGTCGGATGCGGCGGATCGGTTTCTGGCTATCGAACAGAGAGTTGCTGCCCTATCCGAGGGCTTGGATTCTGTGTCGCTTCATGTCAGCCAGACTGCCTTACAGACGGATGCACTGTCCTGGAGGTTGGATCGCTTGGAAACTCGTGTCAGGTTGCTCTGGGAAAATGTTGATGATCTGCGATCGGCTCTGGGCCTATTGGTTCCAACGATCACAGGTGATCCCCAGGTGGCGGCGCAGGCATTATCAGATGCTATCCCAGCAAGGTTGGCGCGGGCTGAACAGGCCCTCCAGTCATTGTCTCAGCAGGATACGACATCAGGGTCCAGTTCACTCCTTGACCGTGTGGCTCGCCTCGAGTCCTTGGTGTCGCGGATGCCGGCGACCTTGAGCTCAGACACCCATAGCCTCCGCTCCGACTGACAGGTTGTGTTTACCGGGCACCAAGGCGATTTTGGCAAATTGCTCTGGAAAATTCTGCGATGCACCGGTTCTCGTTGAACCGTTTGCCTGGGCTTGCTGTGTTTGCTTGCGGATCAGCCAGTCGCTCTGACCTTTCTGCTAGGCTCAGGCTTTGGGGGTGGGTCTCCTAGTTTAGGGTCTCTCTGTATGATCATGGCCAGTCGCTGGCTGCCGGATGGAACGCCTCGCCAGCCGTCTTTTCCTGCACCACTGCCGGCTCCGAGCCCGGCTCTGGCTCCATTGCTGCTACCGAGGTGCCACCG